CCGTTTGGTGCAGGGGAAGATTCGGGTACACAACCTGTAAGTTTGCATTGTTATTTGTGTATTTATCAAACAAGACTGTTTAAATGTGTAAACTGTGTCGGACTGCTAAGCCATTGACACAGTGCTAACTGTGCTAACTAAGTTGCTAGCATTTCCATATATCAACTCTAATATTAGCAGATGGCCTTGCATACATGTATCTCATAGCAGGAGAATGTCTGCATTCACACACAAAATACCTATTGACAGTATACTCCGGGTGATTTGCCGTGCGGTCAGTCGCGAAATGTAATTACATTATAGCTGGCGTAGCGTGTATGCTACCGATCTAACCAACGGAGCTAGACATGGGTTTGCTCGGAAAAACATTTGTGTTATGCTACGTTGCTAGCGTTTAAATATATCAACTACAATGTCAGCAGATGGCCTTACATGTTTGTCATGGCAGGAGAATGTCTGCAGTCACACACACGGAATACTCATACAGTATACTCCGGGTGATTTACCGTACATTGTGACAGTACATGTACATACTGCATGTATAGCTAACGAGGCTAGCTATACATGCTAGCGCAAAACAATGTATTCATGCAAGTTACAATGTATGACCGAACGTAGCAGAATACCCGTATAAGATTGCAATTATAAACACGTTATTGCTAGCCTAATATGAACCACTAGCTTTTGTTCATAGTAGTTTTATTACACTACATTATAGTTGCCGTTCCTCCGAGCCAGCGTTCATATCGTGTTAGCTACCAAAGTAAACAAGAAAGCTAGGTTAGCATATTAGCTGGCAAGCTGTTCATTAGATAGATAGATCCACACTCCTACCACAACTACTACTAACGAATCTAAAACAACTAAGTTTCTCTAATATTTTGTGATTTGCATTTGATTTCGTCCAGCCAGATCCTGGCGGACAATACATGACGGGGACGGGACTACCACACTGAGGCCTCGTCCTAAAAAGCACCGGCTGCGCCCAGGCAAGATGCGGGGAGGAATGGATGATATACCGTGTATATATGTATATTTATGTTCATTTTGTACATTTCTAAAAATAAAGTTTAATGGAAATACTTAGTAGGCCTATCCTTTCTTCCCTGAATTATTTGCTCCTATAACGTATCATTCATATATAGCAAACCATGATTTGATTTCTCATCAAACAGTAGTAGTTTATTACAGGTAAAAATAACTTACTCTTTGTTATGACCGGCTCGTAGGCCACAACGGAAAGACAAGGAGACATACACGAGTTTAAAAAACCACGGCACATTTATTGTGGTAAATGCAGAGATAGGTGGTCGAGGGGAGAGGATCGCCGAGCCGCTTTGGAGAGAGACGGGCCGCCGTGTGACTCCGGGCAGCTGGGCTTAATAGCACCTCGGCTCCGGAGGTGTCCGTGATCGCGCTGATTAGCCTCTTCAGCTCCACCCCATCGTAAGACCTGCAACACACCTGCACAAAGGCCCTGGGGCCGTCACACTCTTCTATAACAACAGTTGTAGGTACAGTTCGGTTAGTTAGCGTATAAAATATACGGCTGTACCGACGCCATTATAAGACTGATGTTCCGCTGAGAGCGAGCCGAAAAAAGCGGGCGGAGCCTCTCTGGTGGTTGACTAATCAGAACAGAGTGGCCGAGCTGACCAATCGGAGCACACTAGGCTCACAGGGAGGGGGGGGGCAAGAGCTCCAACGAGTCGTTTAGTGGAGAGAGTGAATACTGCTGAATACACATACTTGACAGAGATGCTGTATGCGAAACCAATGTGAGTTTGGAAAATTGCACAGTATAAATCTATTTTAGTATACCTCAACAATGTAATTATGATCAGTGGAAATGGCCATGACATGGGCCCTTTAAACCGCAGAGGGAGTCACAATAGTCCGATATAAGCATGAAGAACAAACAAACAAACGCGGCCGAGTTCAAGTTATGTCCCCCGGATGAACTGAGCAGGCAGAGTCCCTGTAGCATCACGGAGCTGCTAGCAGAGAGACAAGAAGCTTACAGCAGCAGTCACTGGACAGAGCTGTCACTCACTGTGACCACGCCCTAATCTATGCATAACTTTAAGACTGAATATTAATTAAACAGATGAGTTGAGAAAAAATTCACCCCCCAATCCATAGTCATGAAGGGGGAATCTAACTATACAGAGAATATGGTTTTTTGAACCACGATGTAAACATGTTTATTTCTGCATTTTAACATGTCTATGGAAATTGCACCCTTCTGCAGACTGCTCCTACTGGCCACTAGATGAACTGCAGTTTGAGGCACTTCCTTATTGGCCTCCCGGCTCTGCCCCAGAGTTTGCCTCTTGCAAAAAACGCAGGAAATTGTTGCAGTAATGTGAGGTCACATTCACACCTAATAGTCCGTTTTCAGGTGCGCACCAGGCGGCAAACTCTGGGGAAGAGCCACAAACTGCAGTTCATATATTGGCCAATAGGCGATGACTGCAGAAAGGAGCAATTTCCATAGACCCCCATGTTAAAATGCCCAATTTTACAGCAGAAAAAAACATGTTTCTACCCCTGGATACAATACATATTATTATGGATATAGTTAGATTCCACCTTCATGATTATGAATCTGTGAGTGAATTGTTTTCTAACACAACCCTTTTATTTATATTAGATCTTAAAGTTTTTGCATAAATTAGGGCGTGGTCACTTTGATGGACAGGTATGTGCCTCACTGTCAGCTAACAGCAACTTGTCCACTCAGCTAGGCTACAACGTTAGTTAGTTGTAGTTACTGTACTTGACCCTTTAGCCGTGTTTGTGGTGATTGTGCCTTTTAGGGAATATTGTTACAAATACCAGACAATTAAAATGTCGTGCTGTGCGCTTGAATGTACTAACAGAACTTCCAAGAAGTCTAAAATGATAATATTATACATGTTAACCCCGTTAGCAGGTGTTTGTGTGCTTGTTAGCTTAGCTTGTTATGTAGCTTATTAGCCAGCTAATGACGTAACCCTTTTTACATGTATATTACAGTTTAGTTCATGATTCATCCTTGGGTAAGACTTTTATAGTATACTATGACGCCCATAATGCTAAACGGGAGCAAATGTTAAAAGGGGACCCAATTATCCCAGTGGTGGCCGCCGGAGCTAACGGAGCCGCAGGGGGCTAGCTCCAGCCGGCGTCCAGCTCCAGCCGGCGTCCCGGAGCCCCCTGCGGCTCCGTTAGCTCCGGGCGGTGGAGTCCGGCGTTATAACTGGAGATCAAGGAATGCAGCGAAACGCGGACTTGGTTCGCCTGCAGCCCGCTGTAGTATTAGCTAAATAAATTATGTTGAACAAGGCTTATTAAGCTGAACATCGCCACAATTGTTCTGCTATGTATCGGTACTTCTTTTATTTTATTAACGTGATGACAAGCATTAAGAATAACAAAAAATAGCTAATTCTCTTGCAGATTGTCTCGTTTGATTATGAATGTAACGTTTATATAGGGGAACTACACTGTTTTATCAAAACCAAAGTGCCACACAGTAACTTGGTATGCATGTATTTCATGTTAGCTTAGCTTCTTAGCCTGAGCTAGCTCTGTTTACTTCCAGTTCGGAGGCAGCAGGTCCCGCCTCGGCTCCGCCTCTTTGCCCTTATTTGGAGCAGGCTGGAGCAGGCGGGAGTTAGACTCTGACGTCACTGTCGAGCCGTTAGTGGCCGACTCCGCCTACTAAGGGCTTCTCTGCAACTCTGCAGAATCCTATGGGTGACGTCACGGACACTACGTCCATTTATACAGTCTATGGTTCACACGGGCAAAACTCAAACGGACTATAAACTTTAAACACAAGTCATGTGCACATAAATGCTGTTCAACCATTGGTCAGACATTAAAGGGGTAAAACCGCAAATCCCGGCAATTTCTACCGCAGCCTCCGCCATGGAGCATCGGCAGGTGACATGCTGCTGTTAATCTGGAGATCAACAGACTCTAGCGGCCCGCGCATATGATTATATAATCAGACAACGTCCGTTAAAAAACATTATAACACATATAATGAGACGTTCTGCAGTAAGGGGCGTTTCACCGACAGGTGGCTCTTACTTTTATGTATAGTTGACGGAGCATTTTCACTTTACACGACACTGTTCAACACTTAATTCTGCTTCACTCTTTGACTAAACAACCGTGGATGTCTTGAAAGACTCTTTCGCTAAAGATTTTGAAGACATCCGCATTCTTGTGACTCGTAAATACTACGCTTCCTATCTTTCGGTGCGGACTGCGTTCACACCAGAGATGAACCGCTCCAGAGTTCACTTGCAAGCGGTCCGAGACCACCTCTTTTAGGCGGACCAGAGTCCGGTTGTTTAGTTCACTTCAGAGGTCTCGGGCTGCGTTCACACCGACCCAAACGAACCGCACCAAGCGGCTAAACGCACCAGGGTTCGATTCAACCGGACTATACGTGTATAAGGCTGGTGTGAATGTGACCTGAAAGAAGAGAAAACTTCAGCCTAGAATGCAGTGACCTGGATCGATTGAGTTTTTCATTACATTCAGTGTAGCAGCAAATACTTTTAATGTCATTTAATAATATTGTTACTTAGTTACACCATAGGCCTACTGTAAAGGAAAAAATAAAACTACTGAAACAAGGTTGTTACTGAAACAAAGAACTGTCACTTAAAGTTACTAAAACAAATGCTGTAGGCCTACATGAAAAAAAAATACTGAAACAAAGAACTGTAACTCAAGTTACTGAATTAAATACCTGTACATAAACAAATACCAATTACTATATTTTATGTTTATTTTATCCCGCGTTTATTGTGCCCTTTTCATAAAAGAACTGGCCCCAGCCTGGGCCCCCCCAGTACAATTGGTCTAGAACCGCCACTGTTTGTGTGTGCACTTGCTCTGAAGAGAATTCGGTTGCACAATATTCACCCGTTATTACGGTACTGTGGCGTTGTTGCCCTGACAACTCAAATGTGTTAGTCCTCTCTTCCGTGTATCGGGAACAAAAGCTGCACAGCACTAACATTAAAAAGACTGTGTCATAAAAACTACGAAAAACAACCAGTCTGTCTCTCATAAGTGAGTCTTACAACGCTGTTCCAGCTACGGTGACACTTTTTTGTTTTTACTACCGTTAGTATCTGACATTAAATACAAACAGCGTTAAAGATGGAAGCCCCGCTGGAAGACGAGCCTCTCGCCGGAGTCTTAGCGAGGATCGAGGGAGACAAGCTAGCAGCCTCTGACTCAGCTCTCACCTTCCTGTCCAGCATCGGTGAGTTTAATGTCGTGTGCGTCAACTTAGTATGCACCACCTGATTTTGGCACCACCTCAGAATTGCCAATTATCTCAAAAGAGCAATACGCCATTAATCAGAGGTGTAATGTAACTAATGTACTCAAGTACTGTAGCCTACTTCAGTAAAAAATGAAGGTACTGGTAATTTACTAGAGTATTTTACATTATATTATAGGCCTACTACTTTGTACTTTTACTCTACTATATTTGGAAGCCAATTTTTTACTTTTTAACCCACTCCATTTATTTTACAGATTTATAGTTACTTAATACATTCTGATTTTGACACGCAATAAACATGAGTGGGTTAATGGACATTTTATTGGCAGCAATTTTGCTCAGCAGATTTTTGTTCAAAAATAGTTCACAGTTCCAGCTTACTCAATGTAAAGATTTGCTGCTTTGAGTCCTTTTACTCCTTTTACTTTGAGTACATTTTCCTGATTGCACTTAAATACTTTAATTTAAGTAATATTCCTGATGCAGGACTTTTTCTTGAAATTGAGTAATCACAGTGTGGTGTTAGTATACTTTTCCTAAATAATCTGAATACTTCTTCCGCCTCAGCTCGAGACATATTTCAAACTGTCCACTGGTCTCATGTTAAAACTTAAATCTCCCCCACTTCTCTCAGAGCCTGCAGAGCTGCTGAAGTGTGTGTTCCCAGACTCTCTGGTGACTGTGTCGGAGAGCGGCAGAGACCTGGGGAAGTTCAGTGTGACGGTGGAGTTTGCCCGTAGACACCATCAGCCCTGTGTGCTGCTGCATGCTCAGAGCCAGGGAGCCATCGATGACTCCCCCTGTGGCACAACAGTGACAGGTGAGGTCGGGCAGAGGTGGACATCCGTTGTCTTGTCTTTTTACAGATGTGTCAGTATACCTTATTTTAATGTCCGTCGTCCTGTCTGTTTAAGCCTACCTAACCACAGACCTGGAGGTGCTGGAGGAAGATTTCCATGAGTACATTAAGGTGGGTCATTGCACATTTATTTTTATTTTAACACACATAGAAGTGAGAACTCTGTACCATGGTGCTTGACTGCCTTAACTCTCTGTCTGTTTTTATCTTTTAAAACATTGAACCCCGTTTCCAGCTTGAGGACCACAGTTTGGACAGGAGGTGTCACATGGTGCTGCATGACGGACAGATGGTGATTGATAAAGTTACCACTGTAGGAGGGGTGAGTAAAACTATAGAGTAGAAATCAAGTGTCCATAACATTGATTAAACAACACATTATTAGGGTTCAATCATCCCTCATGCCATTACTGTAAAGTGTCATTATTTTGTGTGTGTGTGTCCAGGAGACGACAAAGGAGAGCATTTGTTACCCCATGTCTGCCCTTAGAGGGCTGGTTACAGAGGGGTCCAACTTTCTGCTGATGCGCCTGATCGCTCTTAGGAAGAGGGTGCCAGAAAACATGACCTTCATCTCCTTCAACCATGGTCTACACATCATCCACAACACTTTTGTAAGTTGTTATGCCTGTAAGACATCTTTGTCATTTTCATTGCTCTACTCTGGCTTTGTTCTCAAGGAGCACATGTGTTGCTAACTGTCAAAAAACACAAATACATTTAGGAGCACTGTTAAAAAATGTAAAGTAACACAGTGTATTAATAAACTACATGTTGCATATATTTATGTTGTCTGTGTGTGTCACTGGACATTTAATAACTAAAAGGGACACTAAAAAGTGATGCACACAGCTGGGAACGTAGCATTTTCATAATATGACTCAAACTGTTTCTCTGACTTCAGAGCAAGCTGGGTCGGAAGCAGCTGGAGGTTGGGGGTGAGACTGTGGAGGTATTTGGGCTGGAGAGGATCGTTCACTCTGTGGAGGACAGCCCCACTACCTGGCAGTGCTACTTCCTGGCTGACGGGTAAGCTCAAAGACTACAGGTCCCAATACCCAACACTGTGGATCAAAGAGGGTACTACAGTTAATTTTACACTGTTAGTCAGTCTGCTCTGATTGGTTAGGCCGGCTCAGTTTTGATTGGTCAACTGCTTAGAGAGGTCCCGCCCCTTAGCCTATCACGTACAATGTGTTGGAGTGCTAGCCAATGGAAGTGTGAATGTTACATGGTGATGTCACCATGTTACGGAAGTAAACAAAGGATTCTAATCGAGGCGTTCCGGGGGGGGGGGAACTCTGCAAACCATTTACATGCACAAACAAAATCTAACTACAGACACTAAAAACACTGCTGGAAAGAGAGAAGCCCAAAAAGCAAAATAGGGTCTTCAAATAACTATAATGGCTTGATTAATTAAATTAAACAATTTTTAGTGTTGTAGTGCGATTTGCATGTAGGAAATGAAAAACAAAAGGCAATTGCAATCAATCATGTTTGTAATTTGGCTACCAGTGATGCATATATGGTGTAATTACAAGTGCATTGAATTGTATGTGACTTTTAACCAACAAGCATAAATAAAAAAAAGTGCAGGAAAGAGAAAACACATTCATTGTATTGTTTATATCTATGTTTTTTTAGTTGTATTTCACGTGTGTGTGTGTGTGTGTGTGTATGGCGTACTGAGCGGCCATCAGTAAAATACACAGCATCCTCGACGCGTGCATGCGTTTATTCTCTGTAATTCACTTTGTTAAAGAAGAAAAAATGAATATGACTTCATAAATGATATTTGTTGAAAAGTTTATGTTCTCTGATCAGGCACTTGGCCAGCAGATTGCAGGTAGGATCGCCGGTGACCATGAAGCTTCTGCAGCTGCCATCACATATAGAGAAAGGTATTCACTTTAACACACACGTTACACTATTCTCCAAAGAAACAGAGTAACGTGTAGTGTGTGTGTGTGTGTGTGTGTGTGTGTGTGTGTGTGTGTGTGTGTGTGTGTGTGTGTGTGTGTGTGTGTGTGTGTGTGTGTGTGTGTGTGTGTGTGTGTGTGTGTGTGTGTGTGTGTGTGTGTGTGTGTGTGTGTGTGTGTGTGTGTGTGTGTGTTAGGTTTTGCGAAGATTCCTCTGGTTTGGGAAGAAGACATGCAGATGTGCTCCAAGTTCTTGGACAGAAAGGTAACCAATAGTGTTCTCATGTAGTACATTTATGTAAGGCTAATGGAAAATTATTCTGTTTCCTCCCATACATCTTATATATATTTTATCATCATCTTACCCATAAATCCTATGACTGAAGCAGAGTATAACTGTGTGTTCATGTCTCGATTGGGCAGGAGGAGCTGAAGGCCGACCATGCCTCATACTTGAGACAGCATCCAGAGATCAGAGCCCTCATATCTGACTTCCTGCAGTTTTTGCTGCTGAGGAAACCAGATGACATCTTCCAGTTTGCCAGAGATTACTTCATCCCTTTTGCCTCCCGTCGTCCTCCAAAACTAAGCCTGGAAACCCCCTAACTCAGAAAGAAAACCCAGGGGCTCACATAAAAACAGCCTTTTTATAGCTTTTAAATCAATGATGAATTTTAAAGTTGTCTATCTTGCTATTTTTACCCTGAATAGTAGTTTTGCTTTCTGATAGTGCTTTAAAAAGGTTAAGTGATGTGAATAAAGTGACTTGGTTCAAATATTTGTGCTTTTGTGTTGGTTCCCTGACCTAGGTGAAGCAGTACAGGCATGTCTGAGCAATGCTTGCTGCCAAACAAGAAAGCGAGTTTTCAAAATAAAAGTGTAACAAAAATTACATAATAAAAAGTCGTGTTCTAACCTTCTCCAAATAGTAAAGAAGAACGAGAGCACTATTTACATTGTGTACACAGTCTTAGACCACATTATGTAGGCTAGTGCAGTGTTTGCGTCTTTAGTGACAATAAACACAGGTTTTCTTTTGAAGGTTGTAAGCGGTAGTGACCATTCTTTAACAAAACCGGCACTCTTCTCTGAAAGTGAAACCAAAGTACCAGCGAGCGGCGGGCGCACGAACGTCACACGAAAACGACTTCTACAACTTTACACTTCATTTGTGAATTTTTTCTCCGTCAAAAAGTATTTTTTCAAACTGAATAACAGAAAAGGTAACTTTTTGCTTCGAGGACGTAGACTGACAGTGGTAAGTGTTAACGTCACAAGTTGTCTCAGCTGTGTGTGTTTTGCTAATGTTACAGCCTGTAGCCTACTTCAATGTTAGCTATGTATATGTAAACGGTAAACAAGCTGTGCCTGTGACTGTAACATTATGTCAAAGTTACACTGGTTTGACTTTGCGTTACAGTTGGTGCTGTCAAGGATTAAGTCAAAGAGTACTTATTTTATTTAGTTTAAAGTAAAAAAAACAAAAAAAACATCATGGTTGGTGCAAAATACGTGACGTCACTGCGCCATACACCCTGAGTTTTATGGTTTTAGCAGCTAAAGTCCAGTTAGGGGAATTCTGTTTTTACAACACTACTTTTTTTATTTCCAGCCTTATTTTTTTAAGTTGTTTTACATTTAGGTTGTCAGCTATTTTGAGTCATAAAATTGTAAGAAATAAATACATGTTAGTAGCTACAATGTAAAGTGATGAAAGGGGTATTATTATTATTAAACCAATATCACACAAATACACATTAAAATATGTCTTATCGTTTAAAGTAGGCCTACCTGTCTGAGGAAGTTGACTGCGTACAAGTAAACATTTTAAGAGTTTTATGAGTGTCAAGCAGTCAAAAAACATGTCTAACATGTTCTTAATGTACTTTCTGATATGTTTATGGTGTAAAAAATAAGAATCTCTATAATTACAGCCACATTTAGTATAAAGGTGGTAATTGGCCATTATTTCAAGCTCATGTTATTTATTATTTTCCTTGTTTCTTCTTACAAATGCCCACTTTACTATTAACCCCCTCCTGTGTCTGTGTCTTTACTAGCAGTGCAGTGAGCTGAGCAGCAGGCCTGCAGCTGGTGGATCAGGATGGATAGACTGACGCTTTCTCACATCGATGAGCAGCTGGATTCCTCCGAGGTGGCCGCTCTCTGCTTCTTGTGTCGGGATGTGGTCCACATTAAACGCCTGGAGGGGGTGAGCTCAACATATCTAATACTCAGAGGTGGAATGTATCTAAGAACAGTACTGTACTTAAATACAATTTTTAGATACTGTACTTGAGTAATTTATTTTCATGCCACTTTCTACTTGTCACTTATTACATTTCAGAGAGAATTATTGTATTTTTACTGCACTCTATTTGTCTGATAGCATTCTTTACGCTACAAATTAAGATGATTGCAAAAAAAAACGTATACAGAATTGCGAAAGTTGAGGAAATAATACACTTTTTGTTATATCTTTTTTATTTATTGACTAAGGGCTGGTGCCCCACGAGGACGAAAACGGGTTTTATCTGCATATTTCTCTTGCGTATAGCTCTTTTTGCCACACGAGGCCGTAACTAAACCATAGAAACGGACCCCGCAAACGATAACGGGTCCAAAGGTGGATAGATCTGGGAACGGAGCGCTCTGGGGGGTCATACGGCTCCGTGTGATCGCCTCTATACGATCATTTTGTGATAATGATGACGCAATAGCCCTGTCTCCCCCCACCTCTGCTGCTCACCCCCGCAAAAGTAAACTGCACACTGAATTCAGATTATTTATCTTTATCTCGATATGGACATAAACGCGAGTGAAGTCTAATCTGACAGGACGGAGACACGCAGCTCCTCCTGCTGTGATGCAGCGGGAGTCACACACTTCAAGTCAGATCATCACCCTTAGCTATTTTAATTAGCCTACCTCTCAAACTACCTAAACTAGTTATAAATATGTTTATTTTTTACTGTCGGCCGGGTCACTCATTACTGGATCAGCTGCTGCATGAGACAGACACTAGGAAGAAGAGAGGACAGGCTCCGTGTATTTTATTATTATATATAGTCGTTATTCATTTGTTTTAAAGCTTAATAAATAACAAAGAAGACCTTTGACCGGCACTTTTATAATTTTGTCTGGAAGACTTAAGTAAGTTTTCCCTATTATACTTTCATAGTTTTACTTCAGTAACTTTTTCAATGCACAACTTTTTCTTTCAAATGTTTACAATGTGGTATAAGTAATTTGACTTAAGTATTGGATCTGTGCATTTCCTCCATTTTTCTCAACCCTGCTTCTGAGGGAAAGTTGTCTTATTGACCCCTAACTATGGACACTTTTGTCGTTTTTTTATAATTGTAAACTATTTGCTACATTGACTACAAAACAAATGTTGTATGGTCAAATATGTAGTTTTCTCATTTTAACAGTAATAATGACTTTAATATAATGTCGGCTTCATCAAGCAAAATGCTTCATATTCAAGACAAATTAGAAAGTAGAGACACAGTAAGCATTTATTATTTTTGGGCGAAAATTATTTCTCTACCTTCAAACACCACTTCACTTGCTTTTTACTAAAATAAACATTGTGAGAAGCTCCCTTTGGGTCATAACTTATCTTCCATCATTGCTTGGACAACTTTCTCAGCTGTTGCATCTTTTGTGAGTTCTCCAAAGTTTCTTTTTGTGTTTCTCGGTTGTTCTAACACAGATCACTGATGCAAAAAGGCTCTTTGTGAGACTCGAAGAACAAGGTCTGCTGGAGGACTATTCCTTCCTCTGTCAGCTGCTCCAAACTATCCGGCGAGCCGATCTCCTCAACCGCCTGGAGACGGACAGCAGGCGACCAGAAGAAACCGACGCAAGTCCTGTGCTGTCAGAATACAGGTACATATTTACTGTAACCGGGGGAAATAACAGGATTACAAATACAGTTTGTTCGGCAAAGTCTGTATCCCTAAATATGTCTGTTGTTTTTCTTGTTTGTATTTCACTATAATCCTCTTTCTGTCAGGGTGGCGCTGTACAAAATCTATGCGGACATGACTGAGGAAAACTTTGAAAAGTTGAAGTTCCTTTTGAGTGACAAGCTGGGCAGAAGACAAACTGAGGCATGCAAGGTGAGAACAAACCCACATAATCATGATAAACCACAAGATTAAAATGCTGCTATTTACTATTATTTGGGGGGAGATAAAACAAATACACGTGCATTTGTAATAGAGAAATGCATGACAAACTGGAAAGAGAAAACGGAGGATGTTTACTTTATTATTACATGATTTCTTAATTATAGGCATGGAACAATTTTCCGACACTAAGCTAAACCATCGACAAAGCTGTTGTGATAGCCCTCTGAATAATGTGTGCTACACAGAAAATCCGATACAATCCATTAGCCTTACTATCCATCAACAACTGTCATCTAGACATAGGGTACACCTATTGCTGAGTTAGATCTGCTATTTACACTGGAGTTATTTCTTAATTCCATATAAATATATTATATAATTCCTATTTTGAATCAGAATCAGAAACAGGTTTATTGCCATGTAGGTTGACACATACGAGGAATTTGACTTGATGTCATGGTGCATACATAAAGTTAAACAAAAATTAAAAACAAAGATAGAGAATTATTTTAAGAAAACTATAATAACATAAAAAAATAATAAAAAATAGTCAATTATTAGCAGTATTTACATACAATAAAATATGGAATAAAATTTGCCAGTAATTAAAAAATACTCAGATTTTCACATTTGCACAATGTTGCTCTTAACATTTGTGTTTTCAATGTTGCTCACTACTCGAAGTTCTGGGTGTGAAAGAGTTTAAATAAATAAAAAGCCGTATTTCATAACTAGTCTGTATTTCTTGCTTTGGGGGAGTAGGAATAATTGTTTCACAATTACAGATGTAGCGCGTCATTTCGGGCAGGGCCGTGGCAGGTATGTAGCAGGCCCTCGATGAAAGGGAAACTCCCAGGATGACAGTGAATACGTGTCAGACTTGTTACGCCCCCTTGATAAATGATATGGAAACCAGTTACAATGGCTCATCGATCCACCAGGTGGTAAAAGTAGAAAATTACTAAAGCATGACGTTTTCTAGATGGCTAGGTTTAATGCATCAATAAGGAACAGTTTAGTTCGTAAAGAAATGGAAAACATTTGAAACTGATTGGTCTGGGTATCAGCAAATATGGGAAACTAAAAAGTAGTATCAAGCTATTCCTACTATCACCGTGCATTCATGGACATGAATACTGACTTCTTTGAACATTTTACTGTGTATTTATATAGTTTGATTGTTTTTGTGCACTGCAACAATACTTTTACTGAAGTCATAATAATCATTTCAGGATTTCTCCTCTGTTAATTGCAGACAGCACTGGATGTGTTTGCTGAAATGGAAAAGACTGGTTTTCTGTCAAACACCAATCTCCGTGACCTGCATGAGATACTGCAGGAGATAGATCAACAACTGGCTGCAATCACACAGCGCTATGTGGAAGGTATGAAACCCACACACAAGCACATACACATTTAAATTTGAAATGTTCAACCCAACTTTCCTTTGTGCTTTTATAGTTTAAACTTATAAAAAAACGAATTGTGTTTGTTCTACAATTTATACAGATAAAGTAATTTATAAAAGAAGACAGGCATGTGACATCTTTAGATGAGCCAAGAAGTGTGTTTTGAGAGAAGGTCAGGCAGAGGCAGGTTGTGTGCTCTGCGCTATCTTCCTGCAACCATAGCATGCAGCACACAGACTGTAGTGAAATGCAAAGAAATTGGGGAGTTTTCCTAAAATACATGGAAAAATGTGGCATCAGCAGAAAACTAAGACAAGTTTCTGAGTTCACTAAAGATGCAATGCCCATATCAGGAAAATAACTGTCAAAATGAAATAAAAAGAAGGGAGATATGAAACAGTGCTTCATTGATAGGGGTTGTAACATGTTTACCACTGTCAGTCAGTGGTTGGCTGCACGTGGAGTCAACACAGGCTGTTCTCTTTAAGAAAACAACTCTTTGGCTTTTGATCATTTTCCCCCCACAATGTTTTTACTGGGATTTTGTTCATACAACAATGTAAAAACAAACATGCTTCGTCTGTATAATACAAGATAATTATTCGAAAGAAGTATCCATAAAAAAAAAGACACACTACTACACCGTCTCGTCAACTGCACCAGCACGGCATCTATTCATCCTCTTGAACATCAGATACATGTAGATCCTTTGCATAATCAATGAAAGGCCTCCATCAATTCTCAAACATTTGCCGTCTAGAACTTAATACATAGGATATATTCTCCAATGGGAGACAGCATCTGTCCCAACCAATGAGTGATGCTTGGGCTTTGAGCCTTTTTCCAAAACAATGCAATACAGGTTTTGGCGTACAGCAGACTTTTACTGCCGTTTTAAAAGATAAAGTGTTGGCAGTGTAGTCAGAAGTGGACCTCTCGCCTTCCAACCAGGGGTGTCAACGACAACGTACTTTGTCAATTTGAAAAATGTTCAACTTTATGCCAATAATTTAGAAATCATGTTATAAAGTGGAACCTCTGATGTCTATTACCAGTTAGTAAATACTAGTATTTGAAACTTGCCAATAATCATGATTAATAACAATCATTATTCTGATTAACGCATTTTTGATTCAATTGATACCACTACTTCCAAGATAATAATATCCATGATATGATTGTGCTCACTTTAGGGGTAACCCAGCCGCTTCCTCGCAGATTATCTTCTCATCTCAGCATGGATAACCAGGTGTGTATTCAATTGTGTTTGTATACAGTTATTCCTTTATTGAGCCAGTTTACTGAGGACTGGAACTCTGTTTTCTTCCAACAGGGGGTCCAACCCACCACCCAGCCAACACAACCTGTCGATGTGTCGATATCTGAGACTCAGCCCAGCGGTAAGTCTGTTATTTTTCACTGTATTACAAACTCACAGCCATTTAATAATTACCCCGAAAGACTTCCAACTTTTTGCTTCTACAGATATTCAATGTAATTGTTATCGTACAAATACAAGAGTCCACTGTTTTTGTTTTTCAGATGGAGAAGCGAGTGTTTGCACCGATGCAGAACCAAAAACCTCCTCCTCTCTTCCCGATCAGGTAACCATTCCCCCAAACCAAAATACCCCTCCCTCCTTTGTTCTTTTTAACAACATCGTTTATAATTTGTCTATGTGGATCTGCTTGTGTCCCTTAGACAGATTACTACGCCCTGACTCATGTGCCACGTGGTTTGTGTGTGGTCATCAATAATGAGGACTTCCCGGGAACAGTGATGTCAAAACGAAATGGGACGCAGGCGGATGTGGGTATGTACCATTGTATTTGAAAAAACATGTGGTCTGATTTTCAATTCAGTGTTCAAGAGGCCCTTTTCGGGTTTCTCCTTTCCTGTTGTATTTTGTAAAGGGTTTTGTGTATGTAAATGGCTGCAAAGGCTAAAATCCAAAAGTTCACTCACACCCTGCCGGAAACTCGATTGTAGCCCTCTGTTTACTTCTGTAACATAATGTATAAATAAAATGTAAAGTATAAAATAATAACAATCCACTCGTATGATTTAATTTGTCTCTTTCATGTGACACAGGGGCTCTGCGCACAGTGTTCACCGCTCTCGGCTTCACTGTGCTGGTGCGCGACAACTTGACAGCAGGTGATATGAAACTGGAACTACAAAAACTGTGCAGGAGGAGTTTTTTGGATGAGGATGCTTTGGTGAGCAGCCCCACACACCTTAAGACCATACATTCAGTGACTGCTATGTGTACTTTATTTTATATTGTTTAAAGGAATAGCTTTACAGTTGGAATGTTAAATGAGAAGATCAATACTTATTTTATATCTTTATGGAAAAGATAAAGTTACATCCAAAAGCAAGAATAAGTCCGGCACCTAAAACTACAACTTGTAATTCTTACACTTTGGTTATTGTACAGGCAACCAAGATATAATATGTGGGCAGAACCAGGCTGGCATATTCAGTATTTTAGCAAACACAAGCTAACTAGCTAGCTGCTTGCTATAAATTGACATGCATCTCTTGAAAAGTCTCTTGACCTTAGATCGAAAGAGTACAGTTCCTAGATGAAAATTCTCACAACACGGTTAGAGGACTATTATCAGTTCATGATTTCTTAAAAAAGACATTGCTGTTGTTTTTTCACTCTTTGAGCTCCACAAGCCGAGTGCAATCTAGTTTCCATTATATTATAAAGGCAAGACAATTGAGTTTCATAAATAGAATTACAGGTAGGAAAGAAAATAATAAATATTCATTTTGTGGTGAAACTCAGATTTTATTAAGAAGACCCTTTATTTATCCCCAAGGGGAAATTCAGTTGTTCGCTCAGTTGTTATTACACACAGTACAATAATCACACATGTACAGGACAGGGCCTATACAGAGGAGGCCTGCATACATATACATAGATACATATACAAACATATGCATGTCTGCACAAACTAAAATATTCAATGTAATAATAATAAATTCCTGAACATATTGTCCGTAATAATTTTTCTTCATACTTTGGCCGACAATCGTAAAACCGTTTTAAAAACGCATTTTATGTGTTATAAAAAAGGTTTTGAAAAGTCTCAAATGTAACTTACGATGTGGACGTGAGAGTGGTATGAATCTTCTCATTTAACTTTCAGCATAAAAGCAAAGAGTGTATTTTACAAAATGTTGAACTAGTCCTTTAAAACAATAGTCCTGTCAAAAAAATGTATTTGTAGTGTCATAGGGAATCATATCTAAATCCAAGTTAAATCAAGAAACAGTTTTCTGAAAACATGTCTGCTTCTAATCTCAGGTGATATGCGTGCTTTCCCATGGAGAAAAAGAATGCGTGCTTGGGACTGACGGGAAGCCGGTGTTCCTGCGAGAGCTGTCCCAGCCCTTCTCCAGCAGGATAGCTCCCACCTTGGCCGGGAAGCCCAAACTGTTGTTCATTCAAGCGTGTCAGGGGAGCGGCTACCAGAGAGGATCCATGCCCTGTCCCCCAAAGGCAAAACAGGAGCAGGAGGAGGGAGAGAGCCGCCTAGAGGAAGACGCTGGTCCCCTGCGTGGAGAGACGGTGCCTTGGGACGCTGACTTCCTGCTGGGCATGGCCACCGTGCCGGAGTGCAAGTCGTTTCGAAACACTACCACGGGCTCCATCTACATCCAGGAGCTGTGCAAGCAGCTGACAAAGTCTGCTAGTAGCAGGTGAGAGATGCCTCCATGCAGAGTTTGAAAGTCTTTAAAACCAGGCTGGACCCTAGCTTAAACTCTTTCATAAAGGACAAGCACTCAGTAGGTGCGTTTTCAAATAAAAAAAAACAGAGTGGAGTGGAATTGCCAAACATTTTAGAAAATGTAAATATTGCAAAAGACCTTGGCTCAGCTACGCAGATGGATTTGTCTCAATATTGTGTGTACAGATCAACAATCATTGTGGTAATGTGTAATCTGTAAATGTAAAACCCCTTCCACAATGCAAAACTATTTTTAAAATGTAAACTCCCAGAAATATTTTGCTCATATAAATCAGATCTGCTAATACACAAACAAATTTCACAGATACAAAAATATTTCTATACATTAAATGTATTCACGGGTAAATTGAAGAGTATATGTGATCATTTTTCTAGCATTTACAATAAAAATGTGTAAATCCAGTTTTTATTTATAGAACAAAAACCCCATTTCAGTCACACAACTCACGTGTTTCTTAATATGTTTATTAGAAGCAGCATATAGTTTGAGTTTGGCGTCTAGGCTCGGGCCTCATCACACAGATGTACATAGAACATTGAGTGATGATTAGATAACTATCCCCCGAGCCTACAGGTGGATGCTGGGATGGAGCTGGGGTGGTGGTGGGGCAGGCAAGCAGCAGCAACATGAAACACAACAGCAGGAACTTGAACATGACTTGCAGCAGTAGCAAGTGAACACAGCAGTGGCAGCAGCAGCAGCATTAGCGAGGCGGAGGCAGGCAGATCTGGCAGCTTAAATAGAGCGGCAGGAGAATGTGTTTGGTTGGTTGTAAGAGGGACGAGGCGCGTCACGTGTTAATGTATAATTGGTGCTCAAGTTGACTGCCTGAACTAGCTCGCAGGCTTCGCCCCATTTGTGGATCTCAATTCTTGGTCTGTGGATTTGCATTTTTAACACAAAAGAGAAATTCTAGGTGTGTCACTGAAATTGTTGAATAGTAGAGGAGAGAGTGGAGGCGTGTGGCGCAGTGGATAGAGCCTTGGTGTTGGGATCAGGGGGTCACAGGTTGAAACCCCACTGCAGTCAGCATGTCGTTGTGTCCCTGGGCAAGACACTTCACCCCAAATTGCTCCTGTGGGGATTGTCCACAGTATTGAGTATGTAAGTCGCTTTGGATAAAAGCGTCTAACAAGTAACATGTAATGTAATGTAATGTAGTATGTTTGCACATTTAAAAGTAGGAGCATGGTTACTGCTGCTTTTTGTTTTTAAACAACAAGCGGCAAGTAAAGCATGTTCATTATTTTTTTATGTAAATGTATCATAGTGACTAAGAATTGGGTGTTTACTGGTCTGTTCACACAACTAATATTGAGACAAATCTATCTCCACAATCAGCTTAATGGAAAACTAGGTGTATCGATAAAAGCAAAATGCGGCAGAGAGATTTTGTGACTTTTTGATGGAGCAACTTCACTTTTTCCACAAAATAACATAGACTATTCCTCTTTTCTCAAATTTGGGACCATATTCGATGTTTTTGAATAAGAATATAGCGACAATTTCAGCAACATTTATCATTTGTGACATTTTTCCTCTTTTTTCTGTGCAGCACGGATAATGACGACATACTCACTGTGCTGACACGTGTGAACAGGGAGGTCAGCAAAGGAGAATATTTTATCTACAAACAGATGCCAGAGCCCAAGTACACCCTCACCAAGAAGCTCGTCCTCAAGTGTGTGTGAGCTGACCGGGACAATGTACAACGCTGAAAATATTCCAACTTTTCATAGGCCTGACTGGTTAACTGTGTGTCTGACTGTGTGGCTGTGTGTGTTTTTATTCTCGCTGTACAGCTGATTGGATGAATTTGAATGTCAGTGTTTTTGAAGTTATCTCGAGAAGGGGATGTGTTTTGATCATGCCATATCAAATGTATTTTTGGAAATGTTGGATGATTCCCATTTATTCTGGAAAAAATAAACAATAAGACATTTGGAAAGTTTCGTTTATTTTTTTCGGTTATTAAAAAATAACCAGTTGAACAAACCCTCCATCCCCATTTTAAGGAACATCTTCATTGGACTCCTTTGTTTACTTCCGTGACATAATTGCATCACTACATAACGCTCCTACACATTGTAATGATAGGCTAAGGGGCGGGACATCTTTAAGCAGTTAACCAATCACCACAGAGCCGGCCAGCTAACCAATCAGAGCAGGCTGGGCTCTGGTTTCAGACGGAGGGTGAAAAGGAGCTGCAGCACAGGCAGTATGAGAAAAATAAAGAGCTTTTTGAACATTAAAGCATGTAAACATGTGACAGTAGAGACACAACATACAAATATGAAACCTGAAAATTGGCCCCTTTAAGAAAAAGTAATATAAGATGTATATGTATAATACAATATAAAACCGTTCCTTTATCTAGCCCTTCTAATCATTTGCAAGTTCCTGTTGTTTTTTATTTACACTTTACTTAAAATACATGTATGTGGACATACAAGTAAATGTTAAAAAAGGTAATGATAGTTGATCATTTAATATTGACATGTAGCCTATTTTAATGAAGAAGCTTGTGCATGCAACCTACTATGAGAACAACTAGTTTTGAATATATAATTGTTATTACTCAATACTTTATTAAATTTATAATTTTTAGTTGCTTCATTTGAGTATTTCCATTTTTTGCTACTCTATACTTCTACCCAACTATAATTCAGAGATAAAGCATGTATTTTACTCCACTAAATGTATTTAAAACTTTAAAGATTTTGATGAATAATGTGAAATATAATCAACACTTCAATCAGACTTAAGTTACACCTGAGGCCTGTACTACGAAGCTGGATTTTCGCTTAGCCGGCTAACTTCAGGGAAATCTCGGGCTTTCCGGTCCTACGACGCTGGTTCTCTTTTTAGCAGGCTAGATTTCCATGGTAACTTATGCTGAGCGGCAAACCTGCTCCGGAGCAGGTTAGGTGGCAGGCTAAGAGATCAACTCAGTGAAAGCACCGCCTGCTGACCAATCAGAGCTCCGTGTGCGGAGTTTAAAGCGATCAATTCATATTACAGGATAGAGGAAATACAGAAAAACTGCCGTTGCAGGAAAGACGGCCGGCCAAAATCAACTGACTGTGTGAACGTGAAAATTAATAGAATATCCCCTCCCATCTTCAGAGCAATCTGACTATTATAATATTAGCGTTAAGAAAGCTTACTTAAATATCTGCCACGACATAAGTAACCGGATCAGAGTAACATTAAGTACAGTCCGCGGCACTGTGAGTGCAGACGTCGATGTGTCCCATTGTCATTCATATCAGATCACATCATAATGTATCATATATTTCCTTATTTGAGTCAGCTTCTTGAGCCGTATCTGGCCGTGCAACACTCACAGTGTCACATACTGTATGCAGAAGTATTATTTTAAGCAACACATTAAGTTGACGAAACACTCGAGTCAAATGTAATTAAAGTCAGATCCACTCGTGTATTAAACGGGGCAGTGATTTCATAAACCTGTTAATGTACGCATTCAAACACTTTTTCTTTTACCAGCTGTATTCACCTTGCAGGTGCAGCTATGTGGCTTTTATCCTGGATAAAGTGTTTAAGTCATGGATGTTTAAAGTTTAACTTCTTCATATTTGACTAATATTAAAGTTCACTTTTCATTCAGGAAGTATGACGCTGCGCTGTCAGTACGCTTGTCCGTGTTTGAGATTGGTCGAATGCTCCAAATACCACCCCTTTCATGTGAACGCGCACCTAACTAGATAGGACACGGCTGGCTTGAGCGATCCACTTGATAACCAGCGTCGTAGTACAGTTTAGCCAGAGCGCGTATGTTTTGGATTGGGCCAACCGGCTAACTCAAACATATCCAGGTTAGGTTGAACCAGCTTCGTAGTACAGGCCTCTGGAGTAAATCCAGCTACCCTGCAGTATACAAAGTCATTAAAACTAACTGCACCTTTACCAGCTTTGATAACACTTTAATGATCAATCATTATAATCAGTATATGATATATATTATTCTGAAATGGACCAATCTGCATAATGACTACTTTCAATTTCTGGTATGTTAGCAGATTTAGACTTATACCTTTTGTCTCTCTGCAGCAGAAAGGTGACTATTCTCACAGTTCAAGTTTAGCCATTCATCTCGGCGTTATTTATTAGATGCACACAGGTCAAGAGACTTGAGGACTGAACAAGAAGGGGCGTGACTCCAACTGTCATATAGAGAGGCGAAGTCCCGCCCTTCTACTTCCGCCCCATGGGACCTTATTTCGGAAAAATGATGAATTGAAGTCAATGGAGAGCGAAAGATTATCTTTCGATCCCGTTTGAATTGTGCCATGAATTACACATATGATGTTTGTCAATCTTAAAAAATCTTTTCCATGTCAAAAAAGTCACAGTTTGTCGTAAAACTGTTGAAATATAAGACTATGAAAAATACGCAACTAGAAAGACTACAAATCCCAGAATCCCGGTCCCGCATGCTGGCTCTTACGGAACCGACTAACTCCCCTTGTGTGTATGTACAGCTCTCAACATGCCCAGACTTGTAGTGATTTTCACCTCTTTTAATACTTTTCGCCTCATTCTGAAAGAAAGAAGTGAAATGTGCCAACGTGACTGCCGTCTTGGTGTGTGGTGCGAGACGGGAGATGTAGTTCATTGAGCGGTTTCACACACAAAAAAGTGTTACTTCACAGTTTTACGACACATTTTTATTTTTTTGAGTTGTAAAATTATCTTTTAAATTGACAAACATCATATGTGTAATTCGTGGCACAATTCAAACGGGATCGAAAGATAATCTTTCTCTCCCCAACTGACTTCAATGCATAATTTTTCCGAAATAAGGTCCCATTACCCGAAGTAAGTGGGCGTGACTTCGCCACTCTATAGAGTGGCGAAGTCCCTCCCACTTACTTCCGGGGTAAACCTTGTTGCAAACCTTGTTGCACACACACACACACGCACGCACGCACACACACACACACACACACACACACACACACACACACACACACACACACACACACACACACACACACACACACACACACGTCACACACACACACACGCCCGCCCTGTGTGACGGATTCCTGTGAACTCCACCCTGCTGCTCCTCTCTTCCAGGAAATGTTCCTTAACTTACAGCAGCTCAGACCCTGGAACAGACGGACAGGCCGCTGAACAACTTTATATTAATTCTTTAACATAATTATTTCAGCACTTTGGGGTCTCTTTGTAAACAAAAGGCGTGACCGTCACCGGAAACACTTTATCTTCGCTCGTTCTCCTCGGGGAATCAACAGGCGTTTCTTTCGTTGGTATCTGTTTCTTGGTAAGTGGAGCTAATTTTAAAACATTTGTCATGTTTACACAGCGGTTAAATATCGCCAAAATATATTCTATATTAAATGTTGTTGCTCGTTGTGTATTTTGAGTGTAGCTTCGCGTGTGCTTGTGGAAACCTCTCGCACCTGAAAGGGCTTTTTGTGAGCTGAGGTTTGGTCCTCCATGGTGGGGGCCTGGGGGGGCAGGGGGTGTAGTCATCTTAGCCCTGTTTATACCAAAGTGAAGGCTTTATAGTAAGGCCTTAGTTAAACTGATATGTTTCCCACAGCTGTCTTAAAACGTTGCTCTTAATCTGAAATGGACAAAAACTGTGATGGTGCACATTTTCTGTCAGCAAACATCTCGAATACTTTTTGTCAACTAACTACAGTTTGGTTGGTTGTTTTACCGCAGTGCTCAGTGCAATTTCCATCCCAAAAATAGACTTTTATATGGGGCAGGAATTTTGATTCCTCCGGCCAGGAAAATCGGTGATGTAACCAATAACATTACTGATGGTTCTATTAAAAATAAGTGTCTAAAAAAAAAAAAAAACAGAACCCCCTCATACAAAGACATATCATACATTTAAAAATTGAATACCATTTCCAGCCAAATTAGTTCAATTCAAGGCAATTTCACGGTTTGTAGATGAACTCAAAAAGTTACATTATGAGGTTTACACTAGTTATTACCTTTTTATATATACAGTCTATGGTCAGTACTCAATTATCCTCATCTTCAGCTAGCTCCATACCTTTCAGAAACAGATTAAATGGTCTCCAGATCGTATCAAAAAAGTCTTGCTTCCCTTTTTGTATATATGCAGACCCTAACCTTTATTTAACGTGGATGGTCGGAATAACAAAACACTTTCCACAACTAGAACATAAAATAACATACATAACAGGTTGAGTTGTAGTTTGTGCTAAGCTAGGTATCCAAAGGTGTCCACTGACTCACAACCATGATGATGGGGACTTGTATTTGGTGGTCATGATGATGTATAATAATAATAAGGTTTCTTATCAAATATAAGCCACCTTACGACCCACAACAACTGGTGTGTCACTTTCCTATAGAAGAGTTACACCCACATTTCAGCCCTCTCATTTCAAACTGCCTCTCATGACCAATACTTGGTCCACTCTGTTTCTTTCTGTTACTGCACATACTCTGAAGCACTTTTTCCATTCAGTGTTTTCTGTCCGGTTGCTTGGCGCTCTGCATGTGATGTAATGGCAACATGAGGTGGAGTCAACTAGCTCTTGAATTCCTTTACTGTGTGTATTCCCCTAAAAACCTCCAGTGAATAAATAAAGGAGCAACAAGAAACCTACTTACAAACACTGATCTTTAATATAGTGGCTTATTTTATGTTGTATTGAGTCAGAGATCATTTACAAAATGTGGAAATCCATTTTGGAAGAAATGTTTAAAATAAAAATGACTTAAAGCACTTAAAGGGTCCTGTTTAAGTAACACAGCTCTACTTATACTCATGGTAGGAACATGGAATATTTTTGCTCATATATGACAACATTGTGTGCATGTGTATGAGTAGGTATGTGGTTTATTGTTAGAGTTCCCCTCAGGGAAACATGTAGTGGTTCCTGAGCCAGTGGTGGTTTTCAGG